CTGCTTCATTCCATTCAGTCATCGCCGGGTACATTTGCATCAACTACGCCTGTTTTACCTTCTTTCCACTGGACTGCTGGCTTTCCTTCAAATTCTTTCTTGGTGTAAAATTATAGGAGAAAACGAGCACCATGTCAGTCATCGCCATCACTCAGCCGACCTGCCTGGTACAAGGTTAGTGAAAGAGAATTAGGATGGCAGCATGGCACATCGTGTTCGGAATCATGATCATGCAAAGCCGCCAGGCCTGGTGTGCATTGCAGAATCGATTCCCGGCGGCAGCTTAGCACTAGGGTGCGGCACATCGTATCTGCGTAGGTAGGCGTTCTTGTCCCCGTAGCACGTCGTACGTCCTGCCCACCGCCACCCTGTTTGTTTGCACATGCGTACGCGTGAGGATGCATGTACTAGCTAGATTGCTCTGGACTATCGGATGCGGCGATCGTGGTGCCGTGGTGGTAGAGGTCGAAGGATTCATCCACCGGCCTCAGGATGGTATCGGATGCCAGGCGACTTTACTGAACGAAGTAGGTGGGGTTGTTGAAGCTAGCGTTCATGTACCACACTGCTTGTTTGTACTCGACCTAACACTGCAATTATTCCGCCATGTCCAAATCCCAACGATCGGGGTTCGTTACTTCTGGGCCGAGGTTGACTGGCTGCACAAAAACGAGCATGATCAGTTCCTCTGCGGAACCAAAAATCCATGAGCGCTTCATTCATCCCTCTTGGGCATCGGGAGCAGAGCACAGCAAGACAGAATCCAAGTTCGTCGTCTGTGGCCGGCCCTGTCCCCTTTTGGTCTCTGGATGGCTAGGGCGTTCGACGATCCCAGCACGGCTGCTTTAATTTGTATGTCAATTTCTTGACGTGGGTAAGCACCATGTTATGTTAATTGGTCACTGCCATCAGACGACCAATGTTGCAGCAGCAGACAACACGAGGTCAGTGGACGCTGGAACAGTGTTCCCATTGTACTTCCTCCCAAAAATTTAGAATGCAAATGTTCTAGTTTTAAAAGAAGTCTTTTTTTCTTTAAGTTTGACTAAGTATATACAAAATAGTATCAATATTTATGTTCCAATAGGTACGCTATGGAAATAGAATAAAATATATTCTATGAAAAAACTTTTATTATTTAATTGATCTCATAAATATTAATAATTGCAAATTGAGCGCACATAGCTCAGATGGTTAGATTTTTTTTGTTGGAACCTACACGTATGTTAAGTTCTTGACTTGATGTAGACACTCACATTTTCTTAGGTTTACTGTAGGATTTAACAGTGTCATTATTTTCAGTGGTACAGGCGACGCACCCATTCATTAACAGCGAGACATCTATATTGAATTCATCAATCTTTGTGTCTGTACTGTGATTCAAAATAAAAATATTAATACTTTTTTATGAACACTTGATGAAACTTGAGATCCGTTGACTTGAAAAAATTTATAGAATTGCACTTTTGAAAGATGGAGGGTGTACTATTATTCAGATGGAGCACAGACAGTCTATAGTTAAATGTGTCAACAGCCCACAACCACCTAAATTATTGGTTGATCTCATCATGCTGTTGTCATGGGCATGTCTTAGTCGAATAGTGCCGCCGTTGAAATTGACTCACAACTCAAGGTCATGCCACCATCAGGGATTGCTGTCGTGACCAATTTCCTTACAAGCTGATGATCGGTGTCCATCTCACTATTGACCAGGTGGTCACAACAAGAAGAACATCGAATGACGTGCACGTCCATACCAAAGCATAAGTTATCGCTAGTCAACACGAGGCAGATTACTTTTTTTTTTAGAAATCTTCATTTGGTTTGAAGGTTAAACAAAAGAAAACTTGTAGTTTTATTCCTCATATTTTCCCTTTTACCCAAACGGGGCACGTACGAAACAGGGTTCTGCAGCTATGTTTGGACAAGACACAAGAGAAGAAGAAACAGGTAGGATAAAAAAATATATAAGAAGTATACAGTACAATGGGTTCCACCTTTGCAATTGATTAAAGCTCATGTTGCCAAGGTCATATCAAAGTCATGTAGGACTAGCTAGTAGTCAAGCTCAAGTGGCTATAGTCATATCCCAACTGGCCAGCGTCCCTGGCCAGCGGTCTGTTCGTTTGCTCATAAACGATCGTAAATTTCTAGTCGGGAACAGTGTTTTTCTCTCACACCAAACCAGCCAGCAGTAAATAATCCATGATACGATACGACCTCCCGAACAGGCTGTTTGTCAATGGCAAATCCTATTGAAAGACCTCTGCTCACATTTCTCTTCCGCAACAGGGTCTTGCATTGTGATATTTTGAACTGCAGAATTTGTGATATTTTGAAACTGCCGTACATTGAAATCAAATCTATCTCTGCAGCATATGACTTTGGTGATTCCAATACGATCAAAATGCTTTAGCATATATTATTAATTAGTGGGCAAAGTTTCGTTACTAGGAAGCATGCAGAATGTAACAGCTAGTAGTAATTGACAGACGACGACGACGACGACAGCTTAAGATGCATATGCATCGATCATCCCTTCATGAGGAAGAAGCTAAGGACGCTGCTAGTGCTAGATACACACGCCGTTGGCGTATGTAGCCCCCGTACGTGTGGGCGCCAGCTCTTTTGCTTGCATTGTTGGTCGCCTGCTAATTGCTTGTTGTCATCAAGTAAGTAGTACAAGTACTCATCAGTAGGTGGTGTTGCCGTTGTTGTTGTTGGAGGCCCTGCCGCTGCCGTCGACGACCACCTCCGTCATGGCGACCTGGTCCGTCTTGCGCTTGCGTGCCTCGATGATCTTCTGGGTGTTCTTGTAGTAGATGGCGTACAGGACCAGCTGCGCCACCGCGAACAGCACGCCCAGCCCGTTGGGGATCTGCATGCATGCGAGATTATTGCATTGGCCATGCATGATCGGTAAGTACATGTACATGAAAAAGAGGACGAGGAAGAAAAATACATAACAGAGATTCATCTGGATACAATTCAGACTTGGTCAATAGGAACAGGGTTGCGGAGGTGAGTTTAGATTTCAAGAGCCAGGTGGCACTACAGTGGTGTACTAGTAGCCTGATCCAAGGGGCATGCTTGCAGCAACGCTGACGCAGCAGAGGAGAGGAGACTCTGGTGTAGGACTAGGACTAGGAGCCCCTACGGGATACGGATAAGATGGTGTCCGTCGTGTGCTGTTGTGGAGTAGCGTGCCGAAGCTCGTTGGTGGTCAGATGAGATGGGGGTCAACAGCGTGTGAGGGGAAGGGGAATTGATCGAACAGGACATGCATCTGCGTCTGCGTCTGTGTGCATGCTTGCCGTTGCCGCCCGATGCCTGTAACCCGTTCTGTTGATTTGCTGTGCTCCGTTGGTTACTGCAGGTGAAGCAGGGATCCATCGGAGCACATGCATGGCTTCTAATTCCTCTCATCCTTCCCTGTCGGTTTCCTCCAAAACGCGCCCAGCAGGCTGCTGATTTGGGCAAGGTCTTAAAATACTCGCTGCGCGATTCCTATACGAATGAATACTAGCGCTAGCTGCATGCTAAGCTACTTCTACCGCACCGGCCGCCAGGTAAATACAACTAGTACTAAAACTGAATGCATGCTATGTTAGCTACTAGGTATAAACTAAAGCTAGAAACGGAATCCAAAGTTCATCTGACGAGTACTAGCAGTAGTTTTCTTACGGTGATGTACAGGTCGAAGTGGATGAGCGCGTAGGCGGTCCAGCAGATGCCGTTCACGAGGGAAGCCAGAGATAGGAACAGGGGCATGTACTCCACACTCTTCGTCTGGATCACCATTTTCTGATCCATGCATCATACAAAAAAAAGAAAGAAACATATCTGCATTAGTATATAATATGGGTATGGACAAAATCAGATATGCAAAAAGGACCTTCACCATCAATACATTCTGCAACATATAACAAGGCATGTGCTGCATGAATGAGAGAGAGAGAGAGAGGGGGCCCAGTGCTAATTTTGCAAATGAATCAAAATGAAGACTCTTCTACGTATTATTACTTCGATAGTAGTACTCCAGTTGTGAAATCAACATGGAAGACACCGCAAATGAAATCTCTGTGCGAAGTGAAATGGAATCTAAAACAACTATTGTTCACTTCGTTTGTACTGTGAAAGATTCCCATTACAGCTGCTGTAATTTATTAATCACTCATTAACAGTAATAAAGAACAAAAAAACGTAATCTCCTGACGCCGACAGCAACCTAATATATACGTACTGGTAAGCACAACGCGCTACTGCAGGAGTGCAATCAAAGAAAAAAAAATTCCATCGACTAGTCAATAACTCAGTCACATGCTGCAGCTATACCAATATACTAAGTACTACCAGTAATACTAGCTGCCGTATATACGTACCATGACGGAGAGCGGGGCGGCGTACATGCCGGTGCCGAAGAGGACGCAGAAGATGCCGACCACCATGGACCTGCGCTCGTGCGTGTGCGCCAGGGTGAGCACCAACGCGGCGACGGCGCCGACGAAGGCCACCTCGGCGGCGAGCAGGAGGACGACCTTGCGGCGCACCGCCCCTGCGGAGTAGAGGAGGAAGAGCGTGACGTAGGTGAGCTGGATGGCCATGCCTGCGCCGTTGATGGTGATCACCAGCATGCTGTGCGGGTGCACCACCGGCAGGCCGTACAACACCCACATCATGCAGTTCAGGAGCGTCGCCACGTACGGGATCGGCGAGTACTGCTCCACAGACCCTTTCTTCCAGATGTGGATGAACGTAGGCCTGTACACGTCACACGTATATGAATAAATACGTGCTTCAATTAGTAGACGCTAAATACTACATACATATTTTTCTGAGTATTTGTGTTCTGGCCTTCTGGGACATGTTTATTACTAGTTCATAGTTATGCAACTGTATACAGAATTATTCCTATACATATTTCATGGTGGGTGTGTGTTATTGTCTATTATTAATTTAGAGTTTTGTATTCATCTGCAAACGAATGGATTGATTCTTACACTGGGGAGAGGAAGAGCACCAGGGCGGTCCCATTGCCTGCAAGATACCCAAACGAAAAAATAAACCCAAAAGTGAATATATAGCACGTGCTTTGTGGCAAGAAGAAAATCACAAATTGAGCTTTAATTTGGAGCAAATTAGTACTATGAACAAGCAGCATGAGAAGGAAAATGATTAGGCCGGGCTCCAGGAAATCCGGATAGTTAATAATGCTTTGCATTGAAGCACACATTTTTTAAGCTTGGCGAGAAGAACATACTGTAAGCAGCAGGGGCACAAGCAGGTAGTGACTACTCACCTATGACACCGATGGCCGTGCGGATGGTGTCAGGGGAGACCATGGTCGCTAGCTGCCTTCTGGAAGATGGTGCTCAGCTCTAGAGAGAGTGCCCTTGCTAGCAGGACTCTGGTGAGATACCTCCGTTAGGAAACAGAGACCGGCCGGAGGCCAAACACCAAATAAAGACGAAGAAACGAATGAGCACAGTTGAGCTGAAGCTCTCAGCTCTCCGGCTTAAATAGAGGAGGAGCATGAGTTAGCTAGCAGCTGCAGCTCCCTGGCCTCGCCGTGGCCGGACCCGCGGGCATCGATCGGGTCCCACCAGCCCACATCCACTCCACCTCCATCTCTATCTGATCTTACTCTTTCTCTCGCCATCTGGAGTTTCTCTTCCTCCTTCTAGTCGCTACAGTTGAAAGAGGGCGACCGGGATCCGGCATTGATTTCCTCCGTTCCCCCTTCACTCTGGTGGCTGGTTCGGCGCCGGCGCCGGAGAGAATGGGGAACGGGGATTGAGACGGCCATTGTACATATTACTACCTAGTTTACGAAGTTTAGGTCCACGCGGCATGCGATTGGTGGAGGCGGCGCTGCCATTAGGGAATAATTTTCGCCGGCCCCTCCTCTGCCTCGTCGGTCTGTGTTTTGGCAGCGGCGAAGGGCTGGGTGGCTGCTACCTCGACAAATTTGGGGGTTCTTTTGAAGATTCGGATCTTGTCGGCGAGGACTTTTGTCCCTCCCTCGTCTTCTTCAGGACCGGCACCGTCGATGCCCTCTCCGGAGAGACTCTAGGGAGGTATGCCTACCACTATTCTGGGGATTCCGGGTGGTGGTTTACATGCAACTGTTTGGGCGGTTTCTTTCCCCTTTCGGCTGCTTCGTCGTTCGTCGACTTGGAGATGCTTGCGATGCTTACGGCGACTCCCATTTTCCTCGGTTGCGGGATGGCCAGTGGTCATCTTCTTTGGCTTGGGTGTTCAACGGTTCTACGGCATGTTGTTTTTGGCATGCTACTCGTTGTGCCAATGAAAATCTTTGAAGTTTCTTTGTTGGGAAGGGCGTTGGCTTCACGCTGCAACCTCGGTGTGCATCTTCTCCTACCTCTGGTGCGGTGGATGCTCGTCCAGGGGCTCCTCCATTCGCCGGCGACGAAGACGACCGGGACTCTGGGAGACCCTTGTATGGACCAAAATGTAATTTTCTTTTTGTTCAAGGGTGCTTTTGTAAGTTGCCATGTAAACATTGACTTATTCATGTGAAATACAATCCTGGTTTTCTTTTAAAAAAAATACTCTTTCTCTCTCTCACTAGTCACTAGAGTGTCGTCTTTCCGAGGAAAATAAAAAATTTGCCTTCTCCAAAGCGTATGTACCGTGCGTATGGACAGCAAAGGGGAGGCCACAAAGAGATTATTATACTCGTACAAGTACAATATAATAAAACCATTTCCCCAGAGTAGTAAGATAACATGTATAGTAAACGTCTTTTTTGAGTTTTTTTTTAATTTATGAGAAATTTGGATATCAAACCAAGAGAAAATCTTTATGTTTTAATGTTCCCTGTTGGCAGAGACACATAATTTCTCTTAATGTTCCCTGTTGGCAGAGACACATAATCTACCCTCATATTTCTCTTATTGTTCACTTTTCATACTTGTCTTTTTTTTTCTTTGTGGTCACTTTTTTTTGAAGCAGCCGGAGGGGCTACCCCCTACCGAAGAATTTTATTAAATTTGTGATCCCTTTGGTCACCCCAAATATAAATGTTTGTTTCTATGACACGCTAGGAGGGGTGTCCCCTAATGATAAATTTTATTAAAATGAAAAGGTACAAAGATTACAATTTCAAAAAGCCTTACTCCAAATATGTACATCTTTTTTGTCCCCAAAAGAGTGTTGTCCTGTCTATGAATCTGGACAAACATTTATCCGAATCCACAGCTAGAACGATATTCTTTTTGGGACAGAGGGATATGTGAGTTACATTAATAAAGCAAATGTGATATTTCCAGAATTTTGAGTTCAAAACCCCCAACTTTGTTTTAGAAATTTCAGGCGTTGTAGATATTACTCATAGTTACTGCCGGCAACAAATCAATACTACCAAAATGATTTTTTGGAGACATTCATTTTTCTATAGATGTCTTGACATAAAAAAACATCTCTACAAATGGTTTCCGAGATGACCCACCACTAAAAATCGATTTTAAGAGTGCTTCCGGTCGTCTTTAGAAATGACACTATTTTTAGAGACGGTTAGAAACACCAATATGAGGCGGTTGGATATACCAACCGCCTCTAAAAACTGATTTTTAGTTACATTTGGTGGTTTGCCTCTAAGAGTTAAGTACAACACAAAAATAATTATAACTTTTCCAAATTAAGTCGAACAAAGACAAACTTTATATGAAAAATTGTAGAGCCCCAAAGAGTTCTACGACTTCATAGTTGACAATCTTTTACATTCGAAATCATTTAGGATCTCCGAAATATATTTTACATTTTTAGATTTTGAAATTAAAAAAAATTCAAATGTCTCGGATGAATACACGCTCCAAACCAAAGTTGTATTTCATGATTAGATCTAAATATCCTTAGTTCAAACTTTTTAAATTTAAAATTATTTAAGAGTTCAAATATTTGTTATAAGATTTGTGAAAGTGGGCACAAAAGAATAGTATCATTCAATTAGTCACTAGTGATTTTGGGGTGAAGAAGTAGGGGAAAGCGGTAGGGAAAATTCGTGCGAGGCCTGAGGTTTCGAGTTCAATCGCCTGTCATTGTATCTACGTGAAGATCATGTGACTTTCTGCACTAGTTCAACTGCATACACAAAGTTCTCAATTATCGAGTGTCCTCGTATGAATCCGGTTTGGTCTAGGTCGATGAACTTAGAGATTTCAGCTTGGAGCCTCATTGTCAGCAACTTTGCAAGTATCTTGATATTGCAGTTTTGTAGGCAAATCAGCTTGAAAGCATCCACTTGGGTCATCCTGGTTTCTTTGGCAGTAGCACCACATACGATCGGTTGACATGTTCTAGGTCGATGGGACCTCGATGGAAGGTGTGAATGAACTCCATCACTTCCCACTTGATTGTTCCCCAGCCACTGTGTACCTAGGGCCAACCCATCCGACCTTGGGGTGCTAGAACAATTTATCGACTGACTGCAACCAATACCTCATGTTCAGCGAAGGACTCGGTCTTGTAGATATCGCTGCAACTAAAGTGCCAGGTAGAGGCCCCTGACATCCTGAGAATTGATTGCTAGTGGTTAGTTAGGGTTTCGATCTTGCCATTTTGGTTTGTGATCTGAGGCTCATTTGTAACACCCTAGTGTTAAGCATTGCATTTGGCACTTGTATTTCATGAGCACAAGCATCATCCAAGCATTCATGAGCATGAGCATATGGAATTTCATCTTATTCTTTACATATTATCACATGTGATGTTGATTATATACATGCATATGCTTGTGTCATGTGTGACCAATGCAAGGGGTGGTTGTGAGGTCACAAAAACACCTTAGACACATCTAGGATGGTAAATGGAACAATGTTTGTATTCATGACATGGGCCAATTTTGCTTCTAAGTCCTAGTTTACTCATAATGTCATTTTTCATGATCCTACTTTGACCAAAGTTGAACTATAGCATAGAGTGTTTGCATGACAGTGCACTCTTAATAAAAGTTGTAGTTCTTGATATGGGTAACAAACTTTATTTAAGGGTCATGAGCTAATTCAGTGCCTAACATAGTCAAAAACAGCTCCAAAGTAGCAATCAGATGCTGTTTTCAGACAGGAAATTTTCTAAGAACTGATTTACAGTTTCATGTACCATACTTTGAAGCTTTGCAATTTGAAAACCAGCTCAAATTAGACCAAGCTCATTTAAGCAAAGTTGGAGATCACATGTAGCTCTACAATTCTTAGTAATGGAATTTTTGCTAATTCTGCACGGATTAGGACTAACATGCATGTTAACGCGTTGCGAGCGCGATAAGTGATCAAATTGGTGATGTTATGTTGTGAGAATGAATAATTGTGCCTCTGTTTTATTATATAAATTTAAGATTCTCTTAAGTAATATCAGTTTGGCATGATGATATAATTCTTCTGCAATCTCTTGACACCATCCAATAATCACTTATTGTTGCAATTTTTCAGATGCCTCGCACACACGCTGGGGCCAGCACCAGCCAAAATGGTGGCGATGATGGTGACTTACCACCACCCCCGCCACCCTTCGCGAATGAATTTTTCGCGCAGTTCTTGGGGAATCAAAGAGCGATGGAAGAAATATTGTGCCTCATTGCGCAGAATACCGCTCATGCCCGCCAGCAAAACCAAGGGCCTGAACCAAACCAGTATAGCTCCTTCAAGGATTTTCAGGACACTAAGCCTCCGGTCTTTAAAGAGGTAGAAGAACCGCTCCAAGCAGACGAGTGGTTGAATACCATTGAGCAAAAGTTCCACTTGCTGAGAGTCACTGAACCCATGAAGGCAGAGTACGCATCCCATCAGTTGCAGGGGCTAGCAGGAATCTGGTGGACCCATTATCTATCTTCCTGACCTGCAAATGCAAATATCACCTGGGATCAATTCAAGGCAGCATTTAGGGGGCATCATATTCCCCTAGGGCTGATGCGCATGAAGGCCGCTGAGTTTATGAAGCTCACCCAAGGGACAAAAACGCTGACTGAATACATGAATGCATTCAACAACTTGTCCCGATATGCCCTAGAATTTGTTGATACAGAAGCGAAGAAGATACAAAGCTTCAAGATAGTCCTTGGCACTAAGTTGATGAAAACTATGGCTAACTCTAGATGATATAATGAGTTCGTCAGCGATGCCCTAACTCAAGAGAACCAGAACAACCTACATGCGACAGCAAAAGGTCGCAAACGGGCAGCTGAGGTGGGTGCCTCAGGTTCCTCTCACTCCAGGGCTCCAGTGGCAGCTAGGCCACAATTCCGTCCCCCAGCACCTAAGTTAAGGCCTCCCCAGAAGAACACCCAGTCTAGCCGACCTCAGAAGGTATTTCGCAAGGCATTCAC